TTATCAATGGATGATGAAATCATTGAGTAGTGTAGATTAGGAACAGGATATGTACAGTATCTTAAAATACATTACACAGATTACTTATTAGTTATAAAAGGCAATGCCTTTTTAATGGAGAATTGGACACATAACCACTTTCATTAAGAAATCAAACTATGACATTGTTGATTATGATGCAGACTGGCATCATATACCCCTGATGTGATGTGGCAGGAACAGTAACAATGAGTAATAATCCTGCCTAAATCTAGAGGAACCAATCAGACAAAGGCAGCATGACCTCAACTTTTAAAACATGTCAGTGTCATAGTGACGTTTTAAATCCCTATAATCCAGCACCCTGGGAGGCTGAGGTAGGAGGATTGTAAATTGAAGCCCAGTCTGGGAAACTGAGCAACTTGGTGGGACCCTGTGTCAAAATTTTAAAAATTTAAAAGGGGTTAGGATTGTAATTCAGTCTGAGTTGAGTCCTTAATCTCTTACACACACACACACACACACACACACACACACACACGCGCGCGCGCGGAGAAAAAGCCAAAGGCATTGTTTTAGATGAAAGGAAGTTAAGACAGCTCAATAGGATCCTGAGTCTCTCTTCCCTGCAGAAAAAACTAGCTATAAAAAACATTTTGGGGACTGGATATATAACTCAGTGTTTGAATGCTTGCTTGCACATGTGACACTAAATTCAATCCCCAGTACTGTCAAAATTTAAAAAAATTGGGGATAGGTAAGGAATTTGGTATATGGATCATTAAGGAGTTAATAAGTCAATTTAAAATTTCTTGGGTATGATAATACCGAGATTAGGGTAGTACGTTTTCATTCTTAGGTGCTATGTGCTAGAGAATGTGTAGAGATGAAGTGTTAGCCTATGATTTTCTAGTGGCTTAGTCTCATGCAAACTCCCAAACAATATAAAAAAATGAAATCTTGCAAAGGGTTAGTAATTGATGGATCTTGGTGAAGCATATGTGAATACATGATATGCTATTCTCTCTTTCAACTTTGCTGTAGGCTTGGAATATTTAAAGTGAAAATAACCAATCATGGTGGCACACACCTATAACCCCAACAATCTGGAAGGCCGAGGCAAGAACATTCCAAATTGAGCGCAGCCTGGTGTCCTGGGGAACTTAGCAACTTAATGAGACCCTGCCTTAAAAAAAAAATGGCTGTAGGTGTAACTCAGTGTGTAGACCCTGGATTATTCAATTCCTAGTTATACCCCTCCTCAAAAGTGAAAACAGAGAAAAGTAACATGTTTGTATATAAAATCAACAGAATTGACTTTGTATAGGTTTCTAAAATAGGTAGTTGTGACTTTGCTAGTACCTTGAAAATGTTAGTGGAATAATACCATTTCTATTATGTAAGAGATACTATTATAATTTAGTTCCCATCATTTCAATATTTTAGTGATCAAACCACTGCCAAAATAACATTCTGATTGTGATCTGTTCATATTCATTCTCCTTCACAACCTGTCACCTTGGAACTACAGGATACTATTGATAGTTCATAATGATGTTTAATTGACTTTTTAAAATGTAAAATCCTTAATTTTAAAATGTTTACTTAAACTTTCTTATGTAACAACCCCAGTTTTAGGCAATGAAATTAGAAAATGAACATATGATATGGCTCCTATGGCCAAAGAGTTCATAAGCTAATAATAATGTGATTTGTGCAGTTAGGTAGCTAGAACACAAGAGTTGGGTGCTACAACAATAATCATGATAATTCTCAATTTTTAGATGAGACAGTAATGGCTCAGAAGAATTAAGTAATTTATCCCAAGTGAAACAAACAAGAAAGGGAAGAACTCAGATTTGGATCCAGCTGTATATGATAAGCTGGTTTCTTAGTCCGTGCCACTGAAAACTGAGTAAATAGTTTTGCTGGGAACTTGGTGCTATTTAAGAAAGGTTTTAGACCTTGAACACTTGATCTGTGTTTTGAAAACATGCATAGGATTTTATCAGATGATGGTGAAGAAAAGCATTACTGGTAGACAAATAGCAAACATTGGTAAAAGAGACATGAAAATACATTGTGTGTTAGTAATGCCAAATAGTTCAGGTTAGCCAGATTGTAAATGTAGCAACAAGTCAAACTGGTATGATAGATTAAGCAGTTTGAACTTTATTTGTAAAGAATGAATATTCACTGAAGGAAATTAAAGTGGGACATGTTTCAAAAGTATGGTAATAATGTTAGAGCTAGGTTAAAGATGAGGATGTCAGTAAGAGGTTGTTGCTTTCATCCAGAAACTGTGATTCTTGGGTGAGGGCAGAGGACAGGATGGAAACGAGACAAATGAGGTGAGATCAGCAGACTGTAGCCTGAGTGTGATAAGGGAGATTGATCAAAACTGCCATTTTGGGGGGGGGACCCAATCGCCATGGTTTCAGTTTGACTGATTGAGTGCATAGAGATGGTGTTAATTCATGACAGGGAACAGACAGAAAGATAACAGCAGCATGTTTGGGGAAATGAGTCGGATGTGTTGAGTTTTAGTCTGTTAACTTTTTCAGTAAAGATTGTTAATATGCTCTTGTATTCTAGTTTTATCTTGGTGGTGTCGGGTCTATGACAAGTTGATGTTCCTTAACCTGTTTTTCTAGGGCATTTAACTTTGCATTTGTCAAATATGTTTTCAGTTACTTCAAATAATTTTTAGAATAGTTAGCTTCAGCATATTTGGTAAGAAAATATATTTTAATCCATAAATTAGAGATTCAGGAATAGGGAAGAAAAAGCTTTCATGTGCATTCAAGTTGGGTATTGTTGAACTGATAGCATTATGGAGTTAACATTTAAATTTGATTGATCTACTGATAATTTAAAAATTCTGTAGCCTGGGAGTTTTTCCAAGCATAACTTTTTGTTTCTTTTAATGTAAGGGAAAGAAAAGCACAGTGCTTTTTAAAAAATTCTATTTATGTGTGTATTTTGCTTTGCAGTGTGAAAATGTATAGCATTTAAAATAATCATGTATATGATAAGCACAAATGCAAGAGTATATCTTTAAAAAAAAACGACTACTCCCTAAAGTGATTCTTTGATAATTCATAGTCATAAAAATGAAAGATAGCAAGAGACTTGCTAGATCTCAGCAGGGTTGTTCATGGCAAAGTATAAGTTATTATACTCTTGGGTTGGTTTGAATTATTTGGTGTTTTCCTGTTGGTGGGAAAAGGGAATATGCGTTGAAGGAGTTAGGTGGGGGAAGGAAGAACAAAAAAAAAAAATGCCAGTTTTGATCAATCTTAATTTTTCACAGCATGGCCTTCTCTAAAGTCACATTTAGTAGAAACATTAATTAGATTTCAGTGCCCCACTGAGTTTTAAAATTAAACATATTTCTGGAACTATCTGTAACATTTTATCACTAATAATATAATGAAGACTATGCTTAGCCTTTTGAAAAATGGAAATTATAACAGAATGTCTTTGGCTCATGAGTAATCATCTTTTATTATGAAAAACATAAAAATTTTAAATGGAGTTAAAAATCAGAGTTTTAATACTATAGCTAAAATGAAAATTTTTAAAAAACATTCTCATCAATGAGAATCTTTTCCTAAATTTGGGATTTTTTATGGGGGGATGTTACGTTTCTTTTAGACCTAAAAATATTCGTGATGGGTATATGCCAGCTGCCACCACAATGTCTATTTAAGGCTGGATTGAAGACAGTAAGCAGGAAACCATTGTTTTCATTCAGGAACTATGATTGCCTATACTAGGGTAGAGGATTGGATGGAAGCCAGAGACAGAAAATGCAGTGGCTAGGAGTGCAAATTCCAGAGTCAAACTGCCTTGCTCTGAGCTCCTCTTTTACCCTTACCCTTGTCCTATAAGCCTATTATACCTCTATTTCCTTAAAGTGGAGATGGCCATACATCCTCATGAAGCTGTAGAGAAATGTATGTGTATTCTTATATCCTCAGGACTATTTTCCTTTTGGTGTATTCTTCTGTCTCCACTGCTTTCTATTCATACATTTACTATAACCACAGGCCCAAATACTTAGCAAAAAATACTCTCTCCTCCTGAAAACCAAAGAATTGAAGAGCTGGCATTTTCTGTCTCACCCTCACTGCCACCCAGGTTGGCCCCAGATCTTAATTGCATGTCATATTCAAGACCCTTGCCCACTTTTTCAGCCTCATTCCTGACACTTCCTTTTTCAAAGCCCTGTGGAACTACCATCAGTCCCCAGCATGCTGAATGATCTCTGAAGCACAAACTTACACATCTGCCTGCAATGCCCTTTTCCATGTTGCACTGTATAAAAACCCTAAAGTCTTTTATTTTTCATTTGTAGCTTATGTTCTTGGACACCCTAGGTGGGAATTTGACTGTTCCTTTCACGTGACCTTGCTGTTACCCAACCTGTCTGTGTCAGAGCACCTGCCTTAGCACTGTCTTTCCATGTTGGCTACCCTGAGTGCCTAGTGAATCCCCTTAAGGCAACAACTATGCCTTACTCACTTTTGTATAATTTTTTCTTAGATGTAGGACTAATTATGTATTAGCTATACTGTAAAGAAATACGCAATTCTCCTTTAAAAAGCCAGCTTTCATTTAAAACATGATAGAAAACAAAGATAAAAAGAATTGAATTTTGAAAATGTTTCTCTTCCTTCATAAAAGATATTTCAGAGTATTTCCAAATTCATTTTTTTCTGTGTAGAATACTCAAAATTTTCAGTAATTAGCTTTAAAAGTTTTAGAAATTAGGAGCCACATCTTTCTGTATATTTTTACCTAAGTAGAGCATTCTTTAAGACTCTTAACTTTAGTTGTGGAATACTGTTGACACCATACCAATATTATTCAACATACAAAAGTATGGATATTTGATATCTAATATAGAAGAACTTTTTTTAGTAGTCCTTTTAAAGCAACATTTCCTTTGAAATTTTTTTGTAATTTATGAGTAAGGAATCCTCAAACAATAACAGTGAATTTCAATTTTATTTTAGCAAAAGCACCTGGAAATTGAAAGAACTACCAAATGGCTGAAGATGCTAAAAGGATGGGAAAAATACAAGAACACTGAGAAGGTAATTTAAAATAAATCTCTTTCTATATGAAACTACATAAATTCAATGTGGATTTTCACAGTACAGTTTTTTTTCAATTATAAGAATATTGCACTCATATTCATTTTGAAAAATTAATTTAGCAAAATTCCTTACCTTGAAAGTCCATATATTGTAAATAACAGATACTTAACCTAAGTTGGTCTCGGCAATTAAGAAGTTATAATAAATGGTCCAGTTCAGTCCAGGATTACCATAGTAAATGGTCCAGGATGAGTTTAGGAGTAATTTAATTCAGCTGCTCAGTTATATTGCCTGTGACTTAGTTTCTTATATCTATCTGTTCTGTGTCTTCTTCACTATCACTTTCATGGTGAAGTTGGCTACGTTTTGGGGTTAGAAATCATTGCAGTAATTTCAGACTTCATAGCCACATATCATACGGTTAGAAAGACAGACGAAGCTGGTCCCTGCTTGCTTTTTGTAAAGCAGGGCAATCTCCTATTCAAAATTGCTTCCAGAAACCCCGCTTTAGATCTTCTTAGCCTGCATTGAGTCTATGCTACGTTTTAACGTGGTTCCACCATTGGTACATGCATGGCTGTCCCATGCCCCCCGATGAGAGTGTCATGCGTGCACCACTGGTGATTCAAGTGGGCAGGAGCATGTTAAAGCAGTTAAACACATTCTTTAATTTTGCTCTCAGTCTTATTAGAAACGTCTTTAAATAGTGGAAAGGTGTCAAGTTCCTGGTGGTGTAAGTTTTCTTGAAAGGTCAAATGTTATCAGTGGCAACAGATACAATGTCAGTTATTTTTCTTCAAGTGACAGTCCACTTCATGTATTTGGAGAAGATATCTGCCAAGTACGACCCCAAATGTAAACAATCATGTGAATATGGTTAGCCACTTGTTCTTTTAAGAAATAATGGTGTTCTCTGAAGAGCATTTGGTTCCGATTATTACTCAGTTTCTGAGTGCCTGTTGCCTGTGGTGACCATCCTACTTCAGTATGCAGCAAGAGCCCCATATGTGCTCTTCATTTCACCACTCAGCACAGTAACAACTGTGTGCTTAGGAGTTGAGATATAATAAAATTAATGTTTTTTACTGCTTCATCCAGGGCATCCTTAGGTGAAACTGACCTTTTATGCAATTGTGAGTGAAGAACAGAATTATTTCTTATTCAGTACTGCTTTGATTTTTGTCAGGGTTTTATCACCATTGCTTTTCTGCCACCAGAGTAGGAGTCAGGACAGTGAAAATAGAAAGTAACATTTTGTCATATTATGAAAATGTTTTGGCATCATAGGCCATGGTTTGTGACTCACTGACAAATTTTCTGTGTGAAATGGAGATAATAGTGCTAATTTCAAAGGGATGAAGATTTAATGTGTTAACATGGGATGCAGTTAGCATTGTATCTTGCATATAGTAAATGTTAACTACCAATGTTAATTTTTTAAAGGAAGGCTGGATAGTTAAAAAAAAATATTAAAGTGAAAAAAATCACTGAAAGTGAAAAAATAGGTAGCAAAGTACAACTGAGATAACTGTTAAGGATTTTTCAAAACCATTAAAACACTTTTTTTCCATGTAATATTTTTTTCTTCCTTTTTTGTATAAAATATACATGTCAGGATTTGCTAACAAGGATTCCAGAGCGCGTCAGTTCCTTGGATTCTAATAAGTGTAACACAGAAGCATTGTCTAAGGGTTAAGAAAAGTCAGAACCAGACTATTCTGGGTTCAAATACCAGCCCTGTCACCTACTGACTGTATGACTTTGATATTTTACTTTTTCCTGCCATATTTGCTCAAGTGTAACATGAAAATGACTACCTTGTAGGGTTGTCAGTATTAAATAATTCGGTAAAACACACAGATTAGTGCTTGACAGTGTGTAGTCAGTGTTGCTTATCAGTAGATGAGGAAAAGGCTCTGATTTAAATAGAGTTGGGAAAACTAGAACTAAACAAAGTTAAGCAATGTGTACTTACTATAGTACTCCCAGTATGAATTTTTAAGTGGAATTTTTATGTGAAACTTACTTGATGATGGAAATCTGCATAAATTGCAGGGTTACAAAGTCATATTTGGTTATAGGGTATCTCATATGGCTAAGGTCATTTTCCTTTTTGAGAACCTAAAATATCCTTATTTTAAAGTCAGACTCTTTTGCATTACTCATTGCATATTGTTGATTTTAACCATCTTGTTTGAGCGTTGGGTTTAGAACTCAAGATGTTTTTAAGAGAGATCAGTTCAAAGTGAAAGATTAAGTACAGCACCCATGCTCTTGTTTAATAGTATGCTGCCTCTCAGGTTAGCCTGCAGCTGACAGCTACTTTACCTTAAATCTTTGTGGGAAGATTGCTCAAGTGGTAATTACAGGATAGGTTTCCATGTATTGTGCCTACAGTTTAATCTCACATTCAGTCTAATAAAATATTTGTAGAATTAAGGTTTATATTCTTCTATAGTGTACATCTATCTATGAAATTATATAAGTCTCTGTAAAATGAGCAATTCAGCTGGGCTATTATTCTGACAGCAACTCTGGCTAATGCAGTTCTCATTAAGGAAGATTTTAACAGAACTATTTCTTTGATGTGTAATTTTAAAGCACTCTCCCATAACTGTAATACTAGAATCATTTGGTGATATATATAGTCCAATTTTGTGTGAAACAGAATGAGCCTTCTAAAAAGAATTACTGCTTTCAGTGCACGCCTTGTTTTAAATTGCATTGAAGTAAAAAGTAGCGTGGAATTTTCTTTTTTCCAACAGTAGGAATGTTGTCTCATCACAGATTCTTTATTTATATAATAATAAAACAAATTCTAAGGATATCTTGAAATAAAAATCTAGCTCTGATAGAGAATATTTGAATTTTTAGAACCAAAACATTGAGAAAAAGTTTCATTAGGATTGTGTTGCCTGTGCATTCTCACATTGTCTGCCCCCATAGACAATAGTGTTGTATTTTTAAAATGTGATTTATTAAATTGTTATTTTCTGTTAAGTCAATACCATTATAATTTAATTGGTGATAATATCATTGTGTCTAAGGTCCGTGATAGCCTGTTACCTACTATAAATGGGTATATTTCTTTGTTGGTTAAATGACTAAGTGGATCTGTAAGTCTGTATTAGCCAATATTTTATTTTACTCATTGGAAAACTAAGACTCTTCATTTAAAATTAAATTTCTTAAGGTCACATAGCTTGTTACCAACAAGCAAGAGATTTCATATCTGGATTCTGGAACTCATTTAATTGTTCATATTTTATTAAGCTTTTCTGTTCAGTGTTTGTCATAAAGGCCAGAAAGCAATACAATATAGTTATGAAATGCAGTAGGGTTTCGTAGATGATTTAAAATGTTTTAAGGCCCAGATCTGGGAGACTCATGCTGTTTGAAGGTGGAAACAAAGGATCCGATGGAGCAGATATAGTTAAAGAAAATGGAGAAGCAGTCATTTGATGATGCATGCTTGCAGTTTGAACAGTGCCGCAAAACTGAGCCAGACTGGCTGGGCTGAAAAGTTTACTCATTGACAGGCAGAATGTTGCAAATATACTGCTATTTTGAGGTCACGTAGGCTGGAAAAAGGTATTAAAAGCAGCCACTTTTTAAACAATATCAAAAGCATTTACATTTACAATTAGTAGGCTAATTTTATTGGCAGATGCACAAAAATAATGACAGTGAAAGGCTAAGGTCAGGCAACCTTCCTTTTTCTTTAAGATTTTATATATTAAATCCATAAAATTAATTTGTAAAAGATTTTTTAAAGTGACTTTTTCAAATTTGAATATTAATTGTTAAAATCCAATATATAGAATTTTATATTGTAATTGTTAAGACTGAGTTCCAAAATAAGACTAATGAATTTGAATTCTTGGACAGTTTACTTTGAGCTACATGTTAGTCTACATCTTAGTTTTCTCATTTGTAAAATGGGCATGACAGTAGTAGTATTATTTACCTCTTTAGCAATACAGAAGTATTGTAAAGACTATATTGACTTAGAAACACATAGCATAATATTGGTTGGTCATAGATGATTAGAAAATGTTAGTGTATAGCAAATAGTAAAAATGTTAATAACTGTTGTTAATATCATTACTGTTTGATTTATCAGTATCCTTACTACTATTCCCACCATTCATTTTCTCTCCCTGGAACACGCATGTATATTCTTCAGTATTCAGTTTATTGTCATTTTCTCCATACGAAATCTTTCCCAACTCTCACAAAGACCTATTTCCTCCCTTCTTCTATTATTTCTAATACAGTCCTAGGATAAGAACCACTGTGTTAGATAAATAAGTGATACCAGAGCAGATTTACTGTCTCACCTCCAACATTTATCCCTGAATTGTTTATGGTTTCCCTTAAAACTGTATATTCATACAAAAGATAAACACCTCCATTAACACATGATGCAGATGCGAACAGTGTGATGCCTACCATCCTCCTTTTATCACTGTGGAGCGCTGGAGAGTAGTTCTCTACCCTGACTTTTCTCATCAGGTACAATGTCCAACTCTGGCTAGCAGTTCATTTGCTTATATTTTATTAGAAACAATTATCTGTTAAAATTAAGATTGCTTATGTTGTAGTCAGGGGTTGTGCAGAGAACAATTAGAATCAGAACATGGAGTTTATAATATTATTTTTATGATGGTCACCCAGAGTTAACACAAGAAAATGCAGAAAATCTATCCACAACACTAAAACATAGAATATTTAGCCAAGGGCCTGAATCCCACAGCAATGTCCCTCATGAGTCCAGATGAAGACCCAGAGCTCATGACAATGCCTCCCATGAGTCCAACCAGAGGTCTAGAGCCCACAAGAAGGACTCATGCCAGTCTCTTTTATGGATCCGTGCTGGGAAGGCCCAAAGCTCAGTGGTGGAAGCCAGTCTATGCCCGCAGGTTGAAGGAACGGTGCTGGTAGGTTGAGGATTCTCCACTGGAGCTGAGAAGTCACACTCACAGCAAAGACCAGGGCTTTCCTGAAAAGCACCACAGTCATCCTCAGTAACATAGAGGCCCGGAGCTCCTCTGATGATAAGCACAGTCAAGTACATGCCAGGAAGCCAGCACGATGAGTTCATCCTAGTGACCAAGCGCACACGTCTTCCCTTCTGGAGCCAGGAAGCAGTGCTCAGTGTGAGGACCAGAGCTTCTCCAGGAGAACGTTATGGCTCAAACAGCAACATGTAGGAGAACCCACAAGGAGAACCCACAATGCCTTAACGCCTCAACACATAGCTTCTCCTTCTCCACATCTCTATTTATGCTGGCAACTTTCCTCAGGTGGAACATCTACCCTTGGCTCCATGCTGATGTAATCCAGTTGGCATTAAGTTGACCACCAGTTTTTAATCCATAACAGTGTACATATTTGTTTCCTAAATACAGCATAAGCTCCATAGAACTTTTTCATGTTTGTAGATCTGGTACCTAGTAAATATGGCCCCAAAGCAGGTATTTACTAGAAAGTTCATTGTAGCATGAGTATATTTATTTGTGAGTCAGAGTCAGTCAGCTCAGCTGATGCTCAAGTCCCTATGTAAAATGGCATTGTGTTTACATATTACATATAAATATCCTCCAATATACCTTTCATTTCTGTATTACTTATAATACTTAGTATAATGTAAATTCTGTGTGATTAATTATAATTTTTATGCCGAGTTGTTTAAAGAGATGACACAGGAAAAAAAGTCCATACATTTGCAAAACACACATATCTCCTTTTCAAATAGTTTTGACTGGCAATTGGTTGAATCCAGATACGAAACCTATGGATATGAAGAGCTGACTGTATTTGAAAACCAATAAGTATAATTTAAGATTCTTATTTTAGAATCTTATCATTTAATTCTTTGAATGTGTTTTGTTTTCTACAGCTCAAATCTAGAGACATCTCTTTTATATTCCTTTTATATTTAGGTATAATTATATTATCATTGCTTTAATATTTTCTGCTTTGAATTTCTTAATATTTTCCTTTTATTATTCTATGTTTTAGTAAGTGCACTTGAGCAAACATGGTGTTTTAGTCATGGAATGATCCTTATTTTTTATGTACTGAAAAATCAGAAATCTTTTGCTACTTGGTAATATCTCATATGTGCCTTTGGGCCTTATTTAATCTCTAGGTTTCACCATCATCTGTAAAACTGAGATTTTGGTATAAAGAATTACAGAGTGGGTGACAATTAAATATCATCAAATGTCTTAAAATAGTTTTCTGCACATAGTAAATGATCAGTAAAAGTTGGAATAATTGTTACTGTGGGTGATAAGTACAATGTATCAGTATTTCTTTTTCAGTCCTTTCCCTGTGTACTTCATTTTAAAATTCTAACCCTTTGATAGCATGGGAACCATTAGTTTTTTATTTTACTTCTTAATCATGACAACTTGATGGATTTGTTTTTCTAAAACTAGATTTTTGGATAAGTGATGGACAGTAATTTGTATTATGATACTGTGCAGAATTGAGCAAAAGCAATAAAATGCACGTCAGAGCTCAGATTTTACTTATGGGAAATATTGGTTTATCAGAAATTCAGGTTCATTGATAGCAAACTCCTTAGCCATTATGTTCTGTTTTCCAATTAGAATTTTACCTTTATATTGCCATGTACACTTGTAATCTTAGCACTTGGGGAGGGGGTGCTGAGGTAGGGACAATTTGCCCTTACTGACTTAGCAAGACCCTATGCCAAAATAAAAAGGGATGGGAAAATAGATCAGTGCCAAAGCCCTGAGTTCAATCTCCAGTATCCAAAAAAAAATATTTTTAAACATTTCATATTCACAGTAGTTCCACATTTTTTGGCATTTATACCAGATATTTACAATACAGTATCATTACTCTAAAAATTTTATAAGATAATTTGAAATTACTTTTAATATATAATAGTACTTTAAAAAGCATAGTTTATTATAATCTTGAAGTGAATGTAGATTGTATACTTCTTTGGGAGAAATAAATGTTAAATTCATCTATTTTTACCACACTCAATTTACAGTTAATGGTAGTACATAAAAAGTTTGGTTTATTGACAACATAGTCATTCTGTATAAATTTCTTCAGTTAGAGCTATTGTGCAGGTTAAAGTTTCTATAATTCTAGATTCTCTTCTCTGAAATCTTAAATTTGAGGTTTATCATGTTTATACCAAAAGAACAAAACAAATCGTACGTGTACTTTTTTAAGTTTATTTTTTGAGAGACGGGGTCTCACTATTTAGTTCAGACTGATCTTAAACTCACTTATATAGTCCAGCTGCCCTTGAACTTGCAGCAATCCTCCTGCTTCAGCCTCCTGAGCTCTGGGATTACAGGTATGTGTCACAATGCCCAGCATGTGTATAATTATTGAACTGAATCAACTTCACAGTACTGAGGTTTCACAGAAAAGTTATACTACATTGTCACTCACTCACAATCACTATCAAAGGTTCTTAAAACTACATTATAGCATACTGAAAGGAAGGCCAGCTTATGCAGTTGGAAAGGGAATCTAGGGGTTGGGTGAAAGGAAAGGAAAAAGAATTAAAATATGCTGTGTATATGTGCCAACTCCTCACAATGAATGTATTATGTATCACAAATGTATGCTAATAAAAACAGGGAGAAGTTTTAATAAATAAAATGTTAGCATAATAGTATAAGCTCTGTGCCTTGTCATTTCAGTTAAAGCTTGCTTCTTATCTTAGCATGCATTGAAATATGTTACTTGAGTGTTCTGAAACATGAAGTATGCCAAAATTCACCACTTTTTGGTGTCACCATCATGCCACAAGTGGACAGTTCCACACTTAACTTCACTTGATAGATAGGTCACATTTGAAACAGAAATATGAAATAAAATTATCCTCAGACAAGGTATATATAAAACATGAAAGCATTTCATGTTTAGACTGGGTGTCATCTCCAGGATATCTCATTATATGTATGCAAATCTTCCGGAAGGTGAGAAAGATACAAAATCCAAAACAATTTTGGTTTCCAGCATTTAAAAAAGGAATACTCAGCTTGTATCTTGATCTTTAAGGTAATTATGTACTGTTTTTAACTTAATCCTTAAGGGTATTTTCCATAATTTGTTAATCATTTCCTTATTTGGGCATTCATTTTTAAATTTTAAAAGGTGTTGAATACTGTAATTGTACTTGAAAAAGTAATTACAGAGAAGATGGGGAAATATTTTGAACCTTAATTTCTTAGGGCAATGTAGTACACTTTTCAAGGATTCAAAAAGTTGATACTAATGATTTATGCTTAGTTTCATTGATGTTTCAATTTTATTCAAAAGTCATGTCTTTCCTTAATGATGATTTATCATTATTTTTGTTTGATCCTTTAAGAAAAGGACAAAGGGTTCCCTGAAGAAATAGTAAGAATTGAAAGGGAAGGATGGAGAGGAGGTAAATGAGAGACAGAGAGAGAGAGAGAGAGAGAGAGAGAGAGAGAGAGAGAGAGAGAGGAGATGAATACACAACATGAAGTAGAAATTGCCAGTGGTTCTGAGAGGTTTGAGATAGACAGGAAGAAGCTTGATTTGTCGAAGAAGGCGGTGAAAAATGGAAGGAAGGAGCTTAGGAGTTAGATAACTGTGTCTACACTCCAACAGGACATTTTGGGAGCACCTTCTGGGTGTGTGATGGGAAAGAAAGGGATTGTATGAATACAATATTGACGATTTAGCAAAGTGCATTGGCTGTATTTTCCTGCCTCTCAAGGGACACTTTTGTCTGGTAAGAGTATGAACTGTACATTCTTGACTTTCGTTTGTTCTTTCCATGTTTGTCTATATCTCCCTTGTAGGATATGAAAAGGTAACAGAGTCAATTTGTATCCACTAATTTTAAGACCAACAACTATTAATCAGCTCAATTGAAGAGATTAGTCTAAGCTTTTGTCAGTTGGTAACCTCCAGTTTCTTTTTTCTTTTGATAAGTTTCACAGAAGAATTTACAAAGGAATTCCCCTTCAACTCCGAGGTGAAGTCTGGGCTCTTCTTCTTGAGATCCCTAAAATGAAAGAAGAAACACGAGACCTTTATAGTGTGAGTGGCAAAATGAACAATTACTTTGAAATTGAAAGCTAAATTATGTTAGTATCTAAGATATTTATATCATCACTTAAAATTATACCAAAAGTATATTGGATTGGGTTTTAGAGGTATATTATTTGTTTTATTGATTCATAGTCTTTCAAACAAGTACTTTAGTAAAAATGTTATTATAATGTCTATATTAATGATTGTTGTTTTTAAAATGCATAAATGATTAATCATAGTCTTTAAAATGATCCATTAATATTGGAGGATATTTGCAGATAAAATTGACTACCTGATTGTAGTATCAATAAAGAGATTTGTAATGTTCTTTTTAGGATTTATGGGAAAATAGCAGAATTCACTTTATCCTACATCTGTTGGTATATGACTTTTTTTCTTCCTTTTTTTTTTTTTTTTTTTTTTGGTTTTTTTGAGTCAGGGTCTCACTATGTGGTTCAGGCTGGCCTAGAATTAAACGATTCTCCTGCTTCAGCCTCCCAAGTATTGGGGTTACAGATGTGTGTGACTGTGTCTGGTGATTCTTTTTCTTCTAGGGTTATACAAAAGAATTTGCCTCTAAAATTATTATATTATCTCTAAATTTTATTATTTATAGTAAAATGTCAGACATTTGACTGCATGATTGGTATACTTTTCCTAAATTAAGCAATGCATTAAATTTACCTTCTTGTCCTCTCAGCTCTATCCATTCTAAACCTTTTTTATGTTAACTTTGAAAGGGGTAAGAGGTTTACATCTAAGAATCTTAGATCTATAGATTTTGAAATATTCTCCTTAGAGAAAAAAATATATATAAAGAAAATAAATAGAATAGATTAAAAATATTTATAGTTTAAACCAACTGCCAAAGGCACTTTGGTGTTCTTTTGGTATTTCCCTTTTGTTTTTCATGTGTATTCAGGTGAAATTTCACCAAGGTGAAAGATGGTAAACTATTGTAGTATAGTAAACAGTTGTATTGTAAGTAGTTTTCTACATGAAAATAAAATTTTCCAGTGATTGGTTAATAGAAGAGAATCATTTAGTAAACACTGATAGCACCAACAAAAGTAACCTAACCACTGGTACTTCCCTTCTTTTTTTTCTTTTTTTCTTTCTTTTTCTTTTTTTTGGTTTATTTTTTGAGTCAGGGTCTCACTACACGATTCAGACTGGCTTTAAAGTCACTTTGTGGCCGAGGCCGGCCTTGAACTCATAATGCTCTTCCTACCTCAGCCTCCCAAGTACTTGGATTATAGACTTGCACCACCATACCTGGCAGCTACTGGTACTTTCAAGTGCATCATTTTCAACACAATCATAAACATTTTTATTGTGTATTAGAATTTCCTTAGCATCACTGAGTCTTCCTTTCCTGGCTACTCTTTCTCTTCTCTATGTCTTGGTTACTTTTCTCTTGTATTGAGACAAAATATATGATGCCCAAATTTAAGGAAGCAAAGGTTTATTTAGCTCACAGTTTATGGAGGTTTTAGTCCATAATCAGCTGGCTCTCTGGTAGAGGCAACAGTTCAAGACAAGAAAAGACAGTAAAAGCAGCAGGAGCAAAGGGAGGGAGGAGCAAGCCTCTTTTCCTCCCTTACATTGTATGCAGGCTACCCACCCTAGGGCAAGTGTGATCACTAATCCCAACCATAGAGTATGAACTAATCACACACTAGATTCAGCCATCTTCAAAAAGCTTGCCCTCCTTGACTGCATGAGGCTTTGGGAACCTCTAAACACAAACCATAATACTCTTTGAAAGTCATGTTATAGTATTAAGTATTCTCCACACATCCTCTATGAACTAGCTAGAACTTCAGTAGCAGTAAAGTTACCTTCTCTTAATCTACCAAGAATTTTCCCAGATGGGTAGAATTATTTGGAGCCTAGAATATTAGGAATATTTAGTGCTTCAAGTTTGTCTAATGGTGTGTACCCCATTCTTTGCAGCCTTGAATGAGTTGTTAAAGAGCACATAGAGTGAATGGATGTGGTCAAGAAGCTCTTCTTCTCTGTCAGAGGAGACACTAGTATAGAAATGTATAATGTACTCCTTAGTATGTGACAGACACTCCAAAAGTAACAAAGCAGAAAAATTTGGCTAAATTGAGAGGAAAAAAAGAAATCACCTTTGTGGTTCAGGAGATATTCATGGAATAGGTGTTTGAGGGGGTGTTATTTCCAGAAAGGAAAAAAGGAGGATGAATTTTCAAGGCACATTGTAAGCACTTTTCTTTCTGATTTACATCTGATTAGTTTTAATTTCATGCGTCATATTGCTGTGTATTTATTTATTTATTTATTTTTGTACCGGGGATCAAACTTTGTGCTTGTCAAGCAGGTGCCTAAGCCACTGAGTTAAATCCCTAGTCCATGTTGCTGTATTTTTAAAATACTTTACTTTGAGAAGATTTGACCTTAATCAAGTAATTTGATGTGTGGCTGTGTGAACTACTTCATTTAATTATAGCAATAACACTAAGAGGCAGACTTTACTATTATTATCATTGAGGTTAAGTAACTTTTTATTCCAAGGTTAACAAATGCAGAGGTAAGATTTAAAATCCAGACTGTTCTGGCTTCTGAGTCGCTGCTCTTATCTACTGCTTTTTCCTTTTATTTGTATCTCATTTGTATTCATCTCTCTTGTAACTAAGAGTGTATCTTCCAGAGAGAAATGGGTCAGTCCACAGCAACAAGTTTGTCTACAACCTTAGCCTGGCTCAGTAATCTAGTAGGCCAAAGCCACAGAGATCTGTCAATTTTTATCTAAATATCATTAATTATACCTTTTTTTTTTTTTTTTTTTTGTCTTTTTGAGACAGGGTATTGCAATGCAGTTCCGGCAGGCCTTGAGCTCACTTTATAGCCCAGGCTAGTCTCAAATTTACAACAGTCCTCTTGCCTCAGCCTCTCAAGTGCTGGGGTTACAGGAATGTGCCACCACATTTGACTCTCCATTATACTTTTGTCCTAGGTTTAAGGGTTCATAAATTCAATTGATTGATTTATTGATTGACAAGATCTTTCTAAGTTGCTCAGACTGGACTAAAACTTGTGATCCTTGCCCTCAGCCTCCCAAAATTCTGAGATTACAGGCATACAGTATCATGCATGAATCCCATTTCTTTAAAAAGAGCTTATTCTTATACTGTAGTGATATTCATGGTCACAATTCATGTAGTCTCAAGATAACTGTAGAAACTGTTTACCTCCTTTGAGGAGGTGAGAAATGTTCTTGATGGACTATATTCTGTGTATTACCTTGTAAACATTTTAGGAAAAAGTAACTCTTTTGACCTATTATTTTTTTTAGCTACTTAACAGAACGTTGCTTCTGTCATGAGACCTTTTGTGTAATATACATGTCTTAAAGAGAAGCCAATACTACGGAAGTATTTGGGTCTTTTTCTCTGCTTCCCACATGTTTTGTTTCATGGCACTTTTTTGTTACGTCAGACATTTCCTTCCTATGTTTCAGCATCTCACCTTGTACCAAACCTCTGTACCTACCTATTACCTTTAAAAAGAAAAGATAATAACCAAATATATAGAGACTGTTCTGTGTCTGTGAAGTGTCTGCTATACCAACTTTTATGAGAAATAGCATACAATAATATTTTATTGACAATATAATTGTAACACATTGCTATAAATGTTCTCCTTGTCTTCAGAGTGCTGGAATAACTGTAGTTATTCCTCATGTTTGTTTTGTTTGCTTTGCAGAACTGGGGATGGGATCTGTGGCCTCACAAATGCCAGGGCAGTGCCCTATCTACCACTGTGCCAGCCACACTGTCAGCCCACTTTTCATGTTTTAAAAAGCTTTAGAAGCAATCCACATACTCACAAAATAGTTAGTATGCACACACATACATGCCAGAATCATATACATTTCTACATACCCATATAGCCTTTATTCAACTTTTAGTTTATGTCAAGGATTAGCAGGTTTTATATATATTTACTAGATTAGTAGTATCAGGAATCTGTATGATCAGTACATGGTAAATATATCACTATAATGTGATTGTAGATGCTTATTTATACTTAGACATAATTATTACAGATTAATACAATTTTTATCTTCTCATCTGCTAAACATGGGCTTCCTTTAATTTAGCTTGATTCTCCCTGAAATGCCACTACATTGACAGCATAGTTATTTTTTTTAAAGGAAAACCTACGAGGTATAAAAAAAAATGAAATTTCTGGAATTTCCCAAAGTTCCAATTTTTCGAAATTAAAGTGTAGACAGGAATTTAGTATACTTTTAAACTCAAGAAAACTGAATTCTAGAATGACAGTGGGAAATTGGAGAAGCAACATGGTTTGTGTGTCAGATCTTCTGAAGCTTGATAATTGCCAGCTATTGGTGTCTTGAAAATGGAGATGAAGAGAAACATAAAAGTGGCTAAAAGCCTGTTTCAGAAGCAGTCAGAGTCCTCAAGTCTCCTTCTAGTCCTGGACCAAGACTAAAGGTTCAGTTTGTAGAGAGAACTTTTGGACTGGGACAGCCCAGACATGGCTGAGGTGAGCTGCTGTCATGAAACCAGAGGAATGGGATATCTCAAATGTTAGGCAACCTCGCCTTTTTTCCCAACTATGCTCCCAGAGCTTTGGCAGCTCAGTGTTGATTTTCCTGATGGAGATGGGAACAACCTTCTGGGGAATATGCCCACTTCTAAAAATAAACTGATTTCCAGGGACCCCATTGCAACTGCCCAGCCAGCACACAGCCTTTTTAGTGTTTTACCGTTTTTTGTTGTTGTTGCTATGGCTTTTTTGGTTGTTTGTTTTTGAGGCAAGGTCTCACTTTGTTGTATAGGCTAGCATTAAACTCACGATGATCCTTTTGCCTCAGCCTCCAGAGTACTAGGATTATAGGCATGTGCCACCATGTGTTTTGCTGTTAAATAAAAGCAAACATCAAAGTTTTGCATTTGAGGAAAGGGTTAAATGAAAACAAATAGAAAAATAAGAAACTTGTAAGAAACAGACTACAAAGCAAGAAGAAAATTTAAAAAGATTATTGTTGTTAATACCTTCAGAGAACTAAAGTAGATATTACATCCGTAAAACAAGTGTAGAGTGCTGTAAAAAGGAGCTTTTGAGAACAATAGAGAACTTATGACTATAGAAATGGAAAACTTAAGAAAAATGAAAAACTTAATTGATAAGTAATGATTGAAGAAGTTTCCCAAAAAATAAAATTTAAAGACACAGAGATAGGGAATAGAGAAAATATAAGAAAAATTGGTAACAGCCTAAGAGATTTTACATTGTAATAATCAGAGTTTCATAAAGACAAAAATGGGAACCCGGGAGGGGAGAATGAGTAAATTGACAAATGAATTATTAAAGACAGGTTTTCAGAGCTGAGTAGTTTATGAGTTTTTATAATTTCAAGGGTTTAATGGTTTGCATCTCTGTGGATAAATATAGATCTAAATTAAGTAGAGAAATGGGAAGCTTCAGAACATGGAGGAAACAGCACCTGTAAACTTCCAGAGAGGGAAAAAAGACATCATGTAATGACAAAAGATTTCACATGCACTGTGGAAGGCCAGAAGATAAACAGTGCCTTTTGAGCAAAGACATCTTCTAACTTACGGTTCAATAAACAGACAGTTTATTGAGAGGGTAGAGTCATTAGACATTAGAGGTTTTAGAAACTTTATCTTCCATACACCCTTTCACAGGAGCCACTATTGAGTGTATTGCCTAAACCAAGAACGCAAGATGTGAGACCCAGGTGTCATTGGAGCCAAGCCAAGAGCAGAGCAGAGAGAAGCCCAGCACGTGGCAGAGGCCAAACTGGGCAGCAGCCCAGAAGCCAGGGAGCCTAGGCAGGAGGTGGGGAGACTGCTGTGGGACAGCGGTCTCCCAGGTGAACTCACTGGAATATGTGTTCTTTCAGAACATTACAGAGATTTGTAGTTTACAGTGAGCTTGGCATTGATTTAGTTACAAGCACATAGAGAATGAAGCAAATCAAGAAGCAATGTAATGATTAAAAGAAAATAAAAATATTGTGCTAGAAAGACGAAAGAAGTCTTAACAGACCACATGACTCAGGAAGAGCTTTCACATAATCTTAGTGATTCAAACCCTGAAAAGTTTCCTGTCCTAAGTTAAAATCTAACTGTATTGACATGATAGAAAGAAAAGGAGATGAGGACAGAGGGAAGGGTTAAGGGCACAGAGGGGAAGGAAGGTTTTCTTAGTGTACCTTTTTCTAAGCCTTTGACTTGCAGGAGGGGATCTTTTAGAGACAGGGTCTCACTATGCAGTTCAGGCTGGCCTTGAATCCACTTTGTAGCCCAGGTTAGCTTTGAAGTCACAGCAGTCCTCCTGCCTCAGCCTCCTGCGTGCTGGGTAGCACATGCAGGCAGGTGCCACCATGCCCAGCTTGGTTTTGTTTTTTTTTCTTTAACCATGCAGTGACTTTCATAAACAACCACAACAACAGAGTTTTAAATGAGAAACAGTTTTTAATTAATCATAGGTTGTCAACAAGTAATCTCATAAAAATGTGCTTTTTTCCCTTTTTCTTTAGAAATTAAAACACAGAGCAAGAGGCTGCTCGCCTGATATCAGACAAATAGACCTTGATGTCAACCGTACATTTAGGGACCATATTATGTTTAGAGACAGATACGGTGTTAAGTAAGTAAAATTTAATATTATGCAATGTAAAAAGCACTTATAAAGTCTCTATTAGGTTAAAATGTGAGTGCTTAGAATATCTTATATAGACTGATTTTAAAAATTTTTTAGTATGTGTTTGCTATACATTGTGAATATATTCACTTGGTGTATTGGTACATATACATGACTCATCTTGATCCTTTTGATTTATGTCCTTTATGTGTACCAAATAACTTGAATCTTTGGTATGTGAGACAACATTTAGTAAATCATTTTATGATCTGAGAATTTAATAAAAGTGTAATGAATTCTTTTATTCAGAGCTGTAGAAAAAAAGAGAGTGGTTTGAAAATTGTCACTGATAAATGCATATGTATAACTTGATCTTACATATAGAGGAAACTAAAAGAAATGAAAATGAATGAAATGAAAAATTAATGAACTAAATATATGGTTGGGACATTGATATTACACATTAGCATGTCATGCATGCTGTGACATTTGTGAATGAAATGTATAGTTTTTCTGACCTGTGATCAGTCAGATCAACCAATGAAGCAGAAGCAGATATACACCAAGAATCTAGCTTATCCAGTTGTAAAGATGATAGGCAAATTCAAAATCCACAGCAGGACACCAAGATGGGTGGGCTAGAATTCCCAGGCATGCACCAAAGCTTCTGTCCCTAGGTAGAATTTCTTATTCAGGGAAGACAAATTTAATCAGGCCTATCTAGATTACACAGGGCAATCTCCCCTACTTAAATTGAGCAGATGATGTATTTTTATTACATCTACAAAATACCTTCACAGCAACAAATTGAAACAATGTTTAATAATGTACCTAGTCAAACTGATACAAACCGAATCATCATAATTCACTTCAACTTAATACTCATGTGTATCTCTTTAAACAATTATTAAGACATACTTCTGTCTAACGTGATACAACTATTCTGATTAAAACTGAAAATATGCAAACTCTTTCCTCACAAGTAGATGTTAAATTCTTGAGTGATGGTCACATTTCTGTTGTGATATCCTGTAACTTAAATACCATGATAAAAAGTTACTTATATATTATATGATAAGAGAAACAAAAATACATACACAAAATATACCATATAAAGGAAAGAGTAACTGCAACAATTATAGTCATTTCTACAAGCATCTATATAGTTATAGGTGATATTCATGACTACCCTCTTCTATTCTCCCTTCTATATAACCTTTGCCTTCAGCAGGTGCCTCAGCTCAAACTTGATTCATTCCTTAACATGTGGACCATTACAATCCTGCATGAATTCGGTTGTAGGTTTTGATTGACTTTACTGACAAGGCGTGGTAATACTAATAAATGCCTCAGAGGTCTCCTGTATTCACATATTACTCCTTTTGTTCTTTGGATAGTATTTCCTCATTCCCTTAGCAGTCACGATCAGTTATCTTCCTTTGCCTTTTGAGGCTCAGGGAGCCTAAAGTAGCACACAGAGCCCAGAGTTAGGTGGCTGTGTACTATCAGTTCAGTCACTATTACATCTCCTAACGAAACATTCTCCTTCTGGAACTAAGTAAGATCTCCAGATCAGTAGACCCTAAGTTTGTAGACACAGGAAGCAAAAATTTATTAGTGAATCCTTAGAGTTAAGAATGAAAGGAGCCACTCCACAGTTTGAATCTTGTATTCCTGAATCCTGGTTGTGGAAAAAACAGTACCTTTTATTTGAGAGCAATGTAAAACATAACCAGCTTCTCTTATAGGATATTGGCCCAGGCCTGCCAGGTATTGATCAGCTGGTGCTGTAACTGAGTCTTCCAAAGGCCATGCCCCTGTCCTGTTAAATCAGTAGCTAGGTCTGTTGAGATTATTTCAGAATAAGATAGATCAATGAAAGAAGGCAACAAATTTAAGAAATTTTGAAGCCATTTATGCTTTTGTTATACCTTCTATCTAGTTTCAAATTTAAAGTGCTTAAAGTACTATTGCAGCTTGGGAGAATTTTCGTTACTACAGTAGTAATTTTATCTGGATTATCTGTTGGTTTTTATGTTTACAATTTTAAAGGTATATGAAATAACTAAATTGTGTTTAATGTAAATTTTTATTTCTCTAGGCAACAGTCTTTATTCCATGTTCTTGCTGCATATTCTATTTATAATACGGTAAGTTGAAACATACCTGTCCAATTCTGTGAGCTGTATTCTGGCATTCTTTTTGCTGTACTCCTTCCTAGCAAGGTCCCTCTAGGTATAGTTCTTTAAGGATCAAATGGTTCTTTTGGCATCTGTGGCAATCCTGGGGCCCTAGAGCAGAGCCAACTTACAAGTGGAAAAACCTAGATAGGACCAGTGAAGCTGGTATGCCGGTGAACCACACTTTTTCACTCCACTTTATTTTTTGTGGATAGAATTTCTTTGTTGTTTTTATTTTAAGTGAGAAAGACTAGGAATGAACCTGGCAAGACACAAAGTTGAAAACTATATTAGTTTGTTTATTTGTTTGTTTTTGTTTTTGTTTTTTGTTTTTGAAGCAGGATTTCACTATTATGGTTCAGGCTGGCCTTGAACTCACTTTGTAGCCCGGGCTGGTCTTGAAACTACAGAGATCCTTGTGTGTCAGCCTTCTAAATGCTGGGATTATAGGTATGTGCCACCATGCCCAGCTAACTAGATTAGTTTTAACTTAACTTTAGATAACTCTTCATTATTCCTAGAATTTTGCCTTTCAGTATCACATTGTGTCTTATAGGTGAGGTCCAGTGGAGGTACGCCAAAATTAAAGTCTTTAGTAGTAGACATACTACCCTTAAGGAATTTATATTCTTTGGCAAGAAAATAATTTAGGCAGAGACCTAAAATGAGTGTTCAGTAAATATTTATAGACTTAGTTCCAGGGGCACAGTCTTTGGACCTTGAGATATATAGTAAGTTTTCTTGTATCTACAGCCTTTGTGTTATAAGAGCAGAAGTTTGCTCCCACCAGGAAAAGTGAAAAAGGGATTTCCCATAAAAATTAAGCAGTAGCAGAGCCTTATGAGAGTTGGAGCTGAAAAGTGATAAGCATTCTATAAAAAAGACCAGCTACACTTTTTCTCTCGTAGTCAAAAGCCATAAAGAATCTGATTATTATCCCAGTGTTTACGTAACTCTCCAGATGGTTTCCTTTACCTATTTGCTAGTTACCCATGGTTAAAATTTCACCCTCAGACTCATTGTGACCATACTGTTCAAGTAGAAATCTCCAGTGATTATAGTCTCTCTGGCTTTGTTCAAATTTCCTGGAGAGTAGGGTGTCTGATCAGTCAGTGCAGCCAAATAATTGTTCCCTTAGGGCCACGCATCCTCATCTGTTCCAGCAGCTGTAGTTCTTGTGACACAAACATGAGTCTCTAAGGTCACATCATAAACAGATCTACGAAGAGAGGGGACAGAAGTCAGATGGACACTTCAAGAAATATCTAGTTTCCTGTAGAGAAATAAAAGGAGAAGCAAATGGGGAGGGGTTGCCAGCATCTGAGCAAAAAAGGAACGGCGAGGTAAGAATTATATAAAACATAAAAGAAGTATTAGAAATCTTTACAGAAACTATAACATTATCAGACAGAAAACAGCTTTAAAAAGTGTAGATGAGACTTTTTTACACCTTTTATTCTTGAGTGCAGTTTTCTTTATAATATGTGGCAGAATATTATAAAGACTATGATAATTATCTCTAGAATTGTCCACTACGTAATGTATCTACCTGTTTTCTGACATTTAGTGTGTCAGTTTTTCATATGTGCATTCACATGTCGCTTGATTTTGTTACTATTTGCTCTTTAGGAAGTTGGGTACTGTCAGGGAATGAGCCAGATCACAGCTCTGTTGCTCATGTACATGAATGAGGAAGACGCTTTCTGGGCCCTCGTCAAACTTTTCTCAGGTCCCAAACATGCCATGCATGGTAAGAAAACCTCATGTTCATCATAAATAATAAACAACACAAAGAAAAAAGGTGAATTTAAAAGATGCTTGGTAGAATGAAGTGAACAATAAACTATTCCTCAGAGCTTGTTCAGTTAATATTTGTTACTACTTTGTTTTTCTTTTTTGAACTTTTTGGTTTACGTTGATTTTTCTTTGTCTTTTCCCTAAGTGTATTGACATTTTAAAATTCTTTTCTTTCTTGTCCTTGGTCAAAAGAAAGTAATTTAGGTTTGGAAGCATTTAGGAAAAGTCATACATAATTGGGAGAAAGAAAAAATACCTTTTGATTAAAACTTTACTGTCATACAGTTATCACTGAGTAAAATACTACTTTTGACAACATATTGTATGACTTCTTCTCAAAGAATATTAGTTGAGAAGTGACACCTAGCTATTTAAAGAAAAATTATTTTAAGTAGTTTTATATTTTAAATGTGGCTTTTAGTTCTTCCCACCACAACTTTTGTTCCATTAAATAAAAAGCTGATAAAATGTTTTGAACACTTTGTAGTATTTCAAAGCATGCTTACTGTTTTGTTTTTCAAATTAGGAGATTATTTTTAATAATATTTTCCTTATTTATCTAAGTATATACATTACACTTTGTTTCAGAAAATTTGGATTGCAACTTGGAAATGAAAATGACATTTGTCCATATAATGTAAAATTAGTGTTGTAGTACATCTGTGTGGTAATGTCAATTTTAGAACAGCTTTAACATTAGATACCCTAAGAGTGGATCATCTAAATTCATGTTGTGAATATTTATGCTTTAATGCGGTGGGAAAGTTGACACAGAAAATGCTCTGTAATAATTTTCTAAGTTATGGCTATCTTACCATGGGGCTTTTGTAAACTGTCTGTAGGGTGTGTGTGTGTGTGTGTGTGTGTGTGTGTGTGTGTGTGTGTATCTCAACTATTGCAACAAATACTGCCTTCATGATAACTGTGGCACTTTACATTCTATAAATGGACTGTAAAACACAGGCATATTATTACATTGAGTTGCTATCCTATAAACAGTATCATTTAAAAAGGCATTTTGAAGAAAAAGAACTCTTCCTTATTAGTCTTTATTTTGCTTTCCCATGCAGTGGTGCTGCTGATCTGTCTTGATATAATGGAATGTTACAATTAAATGATATATAATTATGTGGAAGACTGTCCAATTCAGAAATCACTCATTTCTTTTAAACCTTTCTGCTAGCTTAGTTACAGTGCAGCAGTGATTATTGTGATTCTAATCTATAAAGCAATATTCTAATATTCTAACATTTGCACTTAAAGTATAGGCTAGGTCATTATTATAGATAAATTTGAATGTGTGAAGATACTTGTTTGTAAATCTGCCTGCCTATTAAATACAGTTAAAGGTTCCCTCTGATCTAATTTTTCTGTATAAAGCAGGATCACTTATACATGTATGGGATCAAAACTAGGTCTGGAAAAGACGAGATTTAAAATATTAAGCCTGCAGTATCACTGAAAAGTGAAAAAGGTTAGGTATCTTAGCATCTTTGAGCTAGTTATTACTGATATTACTGAAATGCATTAATTTTTTTCAAAAATTGACCTTTTCTCTTGAAAATTTTCCAATTCCTATAAAATTGACCATAAAAATGGCATTGATAGAGATTTTTTTATGAAATAATTTCACTGGAAAATATTACTAACAAAGAAATAGAACGTGTACCTGTGGGAATTTTTACACCTTCAAAAATTGAGAACTAGTTAAGGAAAACTTCTGCCTAGTAGATTGTAAAGCAGTGTTTTCCCAGTACTGTACTCTTTGGGTTTTTGAAGGAGTGTGGCTTTTTTTTTTTTTTTTAAACAGATACTTTGTGGCGGGATAAATAGACAGATTTTTAAAAATCTGGAAGACTGAGTTAAAAAAAAAATAATGCAAAATATGGCAAGAGCAAGATCCTGAATTCAGTTTCCAGTACCAAAAAAAAAAAAAAAAAAAAAGTAGTAAAGCAGAATAGGTTTCATTAAAGCTAAAAGACATCTTAGAAACATAAATAAGCAATATGCATCATGAATATACAAAAGAATATATGTGACATGGGGGAGATCTGCCACCACCTCCATTTCTTTTTTCGTTTGTTTGTTTGAGATGAGATCTCGTTGTGTAGTGCACGCTGGCCTTGAACTTGCTAATGTATTCCAGGCTAGCCTGTAACTCACAGTGATCCTTCTGCCTCAGTCTCTCTAGTCCTGGGATTACAGACATGTGCCACCACTCCTTTCTCCCCCATTCCTTGAAAAAAAACAATGTCTATTAACATCTTTCAAAGTTAAATAGTAACTAAGTTGGAAAATTCTAATGTGGTGAAATAATATCTCTTGAGAATATGTTCTTTAAACAGATTATATAAATAGCTGAAAGGAAACGTGAATAAAAATAGATGTAAAGGTCAATAGGTTAAATACACAAATTAATACTTAACATTCATTACCTCTGAGAAATCTTATGTTGTATAAGTTGAGATAAAATACAATGTTGGTATACCATTGACAATATAGTACCTACATGTTTTAAGTGATGTGAAATACAGTTTTTATAGACAGGATTAAGAATTGATACAAACTTTGGAAACATGATATTAGTAAAATTGTAAGAGCAAACTTGAAAACTAATAAATACTTATGTAATTAATTTATAGTAGTGCAAAATGCTAAGTAGTTATCATTAGAACAACTTATAAAAGTTTAGTCTTTCTAGATATGACTGTCTTAAAAGAACAGATAAATCGCCTCAATTTCTATTTTTTTCTTAGCTTAATTTACTTTTTACTTCAGAAATACCTTTTTAAAAATGATATTATAGGGGCTGGAGATTTAGCTCAGCGGCATAAGTGCCTGCCTTGCAAGCAGGCAGTCGTGAGTTCGATCCCTGGTACTGATAAAAACGAAAAAGACAAATATATACATATGTATAAAAATAATATTACAAAGATATAGACAACCTTTAGCAAACAAATCCTAGCTGAAAGTTTTATTGCCCAAAGTTTAATATCTGTCTATTTAAACTTTCTTGGTGAGAAGGAAAGAATAGTTTGGTAACTATTGAAAGTTTCTTTTTATTTTTTATAGTTACAAATAAAAGAAATATGTGGCATTTTTAAATTGGGGGTTTTATTGGTATTGTTTTTAAAGTATTGTTTTTATGTTTATATTCCAGGATTTTTTGTCCAAGGTTTTCCTAAACTCTTGAGATTTCAAGAACATCATGAAAAAATACTGAATAAATTTCTGTCTAAGCTTAAGCAACATTTGGTAGGTAGATGTGTCACTGATTAACTCACAACAAGAATGAAGGTACAATAATTCTGTGTTTGGTCAGTTACCTTATTACTTTATAATGTCATCCGTTTCATTTATTATGTTTTTATAATTCCCATTTATTTGAAGAACAATAGATTTGTAAATTTTATTATTGCTGCTATATTATGTCCTAATTCACAGATACAAACTTCTTCTCTTAACGCAGATAAATACACTGACATTTTTAAAGATACATGGCTTCTTAGTGAATTTTGAGGTTTTTTTAAACATTCAAATTAATTTCTTGTGAGCTATACATAACATTGCCTATAAAGTATATGAACAAATATCTCATGTATTACAGTGCTCTCAGAAGGTACTTATTCTTAGGATAATTTTGAGAAGTAAAATTTTGGAAGAAAAAGTAAGAATAGAAAAGCATGGACAGGATTCATAACAAGATGGTTTTATATTTGACTTAAAACCTACCTCCAATAATTTCCTACCTTTTTTTAGTACTACATTATGTATTTTGTTTGCTGCAATCCAGAAATTGTGGGGTCTTTGTTTTTTCAGGATTCTCAAGAAATCTACACAAGTTTTTACACAATGAAGTGGTTTTTTCAGTGTTTTCTTGATCGTGTAAGTATTTATTTACAAAACTCAATTATAAGATTATAAGTACAAGGTGAGGGGAAGCTGCTAACCTTTCTTCTGTTTTGTTATAGACTCCCTTTACACTAAACCTCAGGATATGGGATATCTACATCTTTGAAGGAGAGCGTGTTCTTACTGCTATGTCTTACACAATCTTAAAATTACATAAAAGTAAGAAAATATTTTTAAAGATTTAATAAAATATCAAAGCTTATTTTAATTCTAATGAATCTCCAGTCTGTCAGATTCATTGTCTTTTAACAGTGGCTTAAAAAATTCTTGAAAATCAATGGAAAAATTATCTTTAGTTGCTAATTTACTTTCATTGGCTCTTTCTCATGACTAGAAGCTGAACAACATTGCAAAGGTCTTTTCCTCTTACATCATTTTCAGACTTAAGCATGAGAATGTAATTGTTAATTTCACTAATATTTTTTAAGTATAGGTTTCTACTAGGCCTTATTCTTTTTATTAGTCTGAAATTCAAAAATTTGTAATAGAAGAACAGAGAAAGGAAAGAACCTAAGGGGGATGGAGAGGACATTTCTGTTACTATTTGCTTCATGTAGGGGAAAAAGCATCCAGCTGTAAGCGATTAGTGAGGATCTTGCAGATCCATCCCTCTTTTGACTTGTCCCTGTGGGACAAGCCCAGACTTACATAGTGTCACAAAACTTTACTTTGGAAGGAACAAAAACCAACTAAATTAAGAGTTATAGTATGTCAGGGGCTCTATAAATTTGATTACCACGATTTACTTTAAAATACAAAAATGAGAGTTTTTCTCTAAATATGAAGACCCATGTTCTTCTAAACTATAAGCCAGTTGAGTCCATGCAGTCATGTTTGTGATTTTTCTGTTTCCTGTATTTGGTGTACGTGTTAAGTACTTTGATACAGGATTTTAGGGTTGCTTACTTAATAGAATGGACTTCAGGAGGGCCAGATTAATCATGCTTTACATTGGAATGAAAACTCCCAACACAGGATATCTCTGTATTGTTCATACTTTTCAAAAAAAGAATTCAGAAGCGTTATAATTCATTTCTCTTACTCCCGATCCTTGTTTCCCCAAGAAACAAAGTAAAGCACCAAACAGCATAGTTGACAGCAAATTGTCTGCTAAGACTCAGGGTTCTAACAACCAGATGAAATCCCTTTCTCTTCTTTTCCTTCACCTTTGCGTCACTTCCTTTCTTTCTGGATTATAAATAGACCAAATTATAGAACAAAACTATACTTTTTATTAAGATTTTATTAGTATTAATTTTTTCCTAGACAGTGAAAAAATAGAAATATAATACTACATTTCCTTGCAGCTTTTTCCTCTTACTTTCTTATTTTACTTACGTGGCCCTTGCTTGATCAGTTGTAACAAGTGAAAAATTTCTTCACCCTTTGTAAATAAACTCTAAACACAGAAATTACTTTATATTGCAGAATATCATTTGACTAAGCTGTAGAAAACCTATTTTCTCCTGTCTTTTTCGTAGGGAACCAAAACTGATGTACTTAAATACATGTCCTTCATTATCACCAAGTGTCAAAAACTGAGTAAGAGATGAGGGACAGGGGGAGTGGGAGATGTTTCTCATGGACACGAAGTTCAGCAGGAGGAATACCTTTTGTGGATCTGCTACATAACATAGTGGCTGTAATTAATAGTAATGGATAGTATACTTGAAAGTTACCCCAAAAGTAGATGTTCTTATCAGGAACATAAGTAAGTTTAGTGATGACCTTGTCATTTAGGTTGACTTAATCATTGTCCAGTGGTATTCATATGTCAACACATCACACTGTACTTCATAAAGATACGCAGTTTTTCATTTTCCAATATAAAAATAAAAATTTTCAACCTGGCAGTTGAAAACAGAAAAATCTCTTTTTGGGTACTTTAATCAATAGTTAGGTAACTGTTAGTTTTTTTTTTTTTTTTCTCTGTCTTTCTTCCTCCGTGATTACCTTAAAAATATTTAGAGACATTATTACTGGAGGTTTATCAAACAGTGATTTTAAATACAGTACTTTAACAATCTAAATGTCCATTTTTAAATGGCTAAGCAAATTATGATGCATACATTGTATCATGATGTCATCATTAATGGTGATATAAAATCATACTTATTGAAACGAGATAAACATTGATATTGTATGAGAACAGAAGCAGGAAGATGAGTAACTTGGAATGTATAATTTGGTTCTGTAAATTCATACACAGGAATATACACATCTATTTGTAGGGTATTGGTTTGTATGATCTTAGCGAATGTTTACTTTCTGCTTTGTACCTTGTTTGAAGTTTTTTTCCTACAAAATTCATTTTATAAGTAGATATAAAACTCACAAAATTAATAACCCATTTCTGGGAAAATTCTGAAACACTAATAAATATGGACTTAAAGTGGTTTTGCCTATGGTTGTTGGATCTTTGAACCAAGATGAGAGAAAGGCCTCGTGTCTTCCTGGGTGACTGTCTATGTCTGTGGTCTCTATGAAGCTCTTGCTCCAGCTTGTATCAGTGCCTCATTATGCCTACATATTATACTTAAGCCAGTAAGAAAATGTTTGCTATATTTATCCCTCTCCCTTTCCCCCCAGTACAGTTAACCTGCTTTTATGTGACTTTAATCACATATCAGTGTTTGTCTCCCTGGGTATCAGTGATATTCACAATGCTGTGTTTGAGATATATGTTCTTTTTAAAGCCAGTTTGAAAAAGAACTCAAAATATATTAGCTTTCCAAACTAAAGTAGTTTTTGACTCAACTTTTGTATTTCTCTCATCTTTTCTTAGAACATCTAATGAAATTGTCTATGGAAGAACTTGTAGAATTTCTTCAGGAGACTCTAGCAAAGGACTTTTTCTTTGAAGATGATTTTGTAATAGAGCAACTTCAAATTTCTATGGCAGAACTAAAGCGGGCAAAGTTAGACCTCCCAGAACCTGGTAAGAAATAGCCCTGTACTTTGGATTAAAATTCAGATTGGAAGACATGGTATAATTAGCATAGGTCTTTTTCAAAGTGTGAACATTACACTTGTGATATTACAATAGAAATCACTATCTCACTACTATTTAACACTCTTTTAACAAAAAGCAAGTAAACATTACATCTCCTTGATTCATAAATTATGCTGTCATTTAGAAGTAATCGTAGTGTTACTTCATGGTGTAACAATAAAGACTCTTTCATCATCTCTTTTTTTCTGAAATCATATATAATAGTACAGCAAGTAAAGCCCCTTTTATAGATTAGGAAACTGACACTTAAATATGAAGCTATAGAACCACCAAATAGCATTATCAACAGTAGAATTCAGGGTTTGTGTTGGTTTTGTTTTGTTTTGTTTTTTGAAACAAGGTCTCACTATGTAGTTCAAGCTGGCTTTAAACTAACTTTGTATCCCAGGCTGGCTTTAAATGCATGGTGATCCTTCTGCCTCAGCCTCCCAAGTGCTTGGCTTACAGGCATGCACCACCAAACCCAACACGTTTAGTTTTTCTAATGACCAATCTAGGACTCTGCGGTAGATTGCAGTGTAGACAATGTATTTTATTCACTTTACTTCAAAGCATTTTTCCATACCTGGTTAGTAGGATTTTTAATAAGTACTCTGAATAAGAAATGGATAAGAAACAGGGAAGAAGGCTGTGTTTCTTGTTCTCAGAATGCACACAGGGAACATGTACACAGATGATAACAAACACAATGGATCAGTAATAGAGCTTGACCCAAGAAGTTGGAGAGAAGACGGGTAGAAGAGGAGGAAAAGAATAGAAAAGAAATTACAGAAAGATCACAATAGAAATAACTTTTAAGAGTTTTGACCAGGTAGCTCCAGAAGTTTTATTTGCCTTAATTTACCTTTGTAGCAGTGGAGGGGATGGTGAGAGGCAAGAGAATGAGCAGATTGTAGGTGGGAATGGTAAAGAAACTCAGTTATTTATGCCCTGAGACAGAGGTTGCTTTGATACTTTCTGATCCACGTGTCATCTTGGATGTGCTTGTATGAAGGGAAAGCAGAATTATACTCAAGAGAAATACTTTTTCCCTTCAGTTAGAATCTAAATGCTCTGCTTCACATGTTTTACTGAGAGGAGTTTAATCGGCACTTCTCTGGAGTTTGGGGTCATCAGGATTGACTAGAAAACAACCCCTCATGGCACTAATTGAGTGTGAGCACAGACCTTGGCAAACCATTGCTTGTGCTAAGTGAGGTCAGCCCTTCCTTGCTCGATATAATAATGTCCATTTTCTGCTAATTCTTTTCTGTGCCAGAAAATGCATTTGGAACAGCAATTACTAAATTTTTGTTATTGTAACATTTATTTTAAAATGTCCTATGTTTTTAAAGGCAGTTAAGGCAATTTAGTAAAAGACACATGTAAAGAGAAATACATACATTGTAGAACTATTTGAACTTGAGATTAAAGTTTGAAACCTATTTAATGGAATAGGATAATGATAATAATTTAGCATCTAATTAGCAGTTGATAGGTTTTTTTAACGCTTTACTATGTAGCATGTGCTATAGGCCCTCTTCCATTTAATCTTCAAAAATAATTCTAAGAAAAATTGTTGGTCTACAATATGGTCTTTTCACTAGGAAGTGATAGAGTGGATATGGAAAGCAGGCATACGATCAAGGGAAAGGGATAGGTTAAGAAATACCATAACCTACTCTGGTAACTTCACCTACTTACCTACCGTTGTAGCCTTTACTTTTTGTGGAGGGGGACTTTTTGGCTTATATTAAGACAATTAAATGAATTTTATACAAAGAAATTTTAATATTCTGTCTGTCTTTCTAAAACTACATACAACAGGGCACTGAGGTATACACCTATGGTAGGAAAATAACCTGAGCTGGGAATTGGAAGGCACTAATGAGATTGTCTTAAAAAAAGAGAACCATGCACGAGTGTTTCTTGTTTTGGTTCTATACATACTGTATTTGTTTGTCCTTTCACCAACAATATATGACACCCACACAGATACATGATGTTGGATTAGAGTATTGCATGGTTTTGATTTGCTTTTCTTTAAGTGTAGTATATATATTTATTGGGCATTTTTATTTCTTTTTCTTTTAATTTCTGTGCTCATCTTTTGCCCATTTTCTATTGGTCTGTTCATATAAGTTCTTAGTAAAATAAGGAGATGGCTAGTTTATTATAAATGTTGCGAATACTTCCTATACAATGTATTCCACCACCACCACCCCACACACACACACACATACATACCCCAGTTTTTTGTCTTTGAGCCTTTTTTTTTTCCTTTAATAGTGCTGGACATCAAAGCCAGGACCTCATACACGTTAGGCAAGTGCTCTGTTTTAAAAATAAAGCCAGGTGTGTAGGTACACACCTGTAATGCCAGCACTCAGGAGGCTGGAGCAAGATGATCACCTTGAATTTGATACCAGGTTGGATTACATAAGCAAATTCAAGGTCAGCCCAAATGACATAGTGAGGCCCTGTCTCAAAACAAAAAAGTTGCTATTTTCAAATTTAAAACTTTTTTAATTAGCAAGAAATCTGTGGCATAACATCATGATACTGTACAGATAGTTTCCTTTAAACCATAACATCATAACCATAACATCATGATAATCTCCTATACATATATATGCACGCAAGATAGCTAAGATAGTTATACTACTGATTTCTTTTAGTTCGCTGAAGAGAATGGTTTGTTCTTATATTGTTTAATCAATTTTGCATGTCTATATCTTGTAATCTGAGCATCTACTTTGAAGATAACAATACACTATGTATTAACCATTGTTAATTTCCTAGTATATGGTTATGAAATTCCGTGCCATGTTTTTATTGATTTTCTCTCTTTAAAATTAAAAAAGTCCAAGCCTGACTGATTTAGGTATTTCAAATTGGCATGAAATACCAACCGTGGTCAGATTTTTTTGCCTGTAGAATGTAGAATACATAAAATTAGTAAGTATACACAGATTACTTAATGCAAAAAATGTGAAATTATTATACTTTATTTTTTCCATAATTAGTTCTAGATCTTCAGGATTAAAAACAAATTTTTTCAGTTAAAATTTTAGGGATAATGAGCTGATGTGCAAGCTAGAACTCCAGCCAAGTTTTTGACAGTGACCACAGCTGTCAAGCTGCAGTGCTTTCTCTCATCTTGAGGTTGGTGCCCATTAAATGATTGTGTCATGTTGTTCAGGTACCTTAGGTGATACTTGCACAGTAACTCAGTTCTTTCATCTCAAGGAACACTGCATCTTTCCACCGATGAGAGGTGGATTCATTTCTTCAATCTTTTATCTCTACACTTGACTTTTAGGATCTTTGAACTTGATGACATTCACTGCTCTTTTTCATTTGTTTCTTATTTAATAGGACTATAATTCTTGCATTAAGGGGCATTTATATTAATTTTGAATAATTTTAATTTCCATTCTGCCATCAATATTGTTCATTGCATAGAGATGGAGAAAAGTTGGCCTTTCAGGGTTAAGTACCTGTCCAAGATCTTACAGGTGATAAGTAATAGGCTTTCAGCTGATGCCAGGTCTGAATCCAAAACCAGTGATATGCATTGTACTGCTATTACCATGTTCAGGTCACAATTTAATAAGAGGTGTGTGAGGGGTTGTGTTGTGCCGTTGAGTATACTTCTCCAAGAATGCCCCTGACATTCACCTCTCTGTCCTCATCTACTTTGTTTAGTTTCCACTACATAGCTTAATTATTATCAGCTTCCTGAAGTCTTTCCCACCAGCCCCTAGTAGCTCCAAGCCATTTTCTGTTGGAAGTTTATTTAGGTTCCTTGATTTTGTGCCTGATCAGAACTCCTTGGGATGGTTCTGTCCTCATACTTCTGGCATTTGGCCCTTGTCTTAGTTTGTGTATCTCTGTGGATAAAATATATTTCTGGAGGCCAGCAACCATGTTTCAGCATTACTAACATTAATACAGCACTTGGCACCTAGAAGACAGTCAGTCTTTCATGGTGGTTGTATTGTTTTCTTTCATAGGGCTGGAACAAAACCCAGAACTTTGTACCTATTAGGCAAGTGTTCTACCATTGAGCTACATCCCCAGCCTGAATAATTAATGATTATTTTTTTAAACTGAATGAACTAATAATATCTTTTTAAATAATAAAATCTATCTATAAAAGGTTAGCACAAAGTATTTCTTGGGGTGTTGAACCATTCTGCATCATGTTTGCATATTCAAATAATAAGTCAATTTTGTTTAGTTTTTTAAAAATTCTACTTTTTGAGGGTTTGAATAAGTTTTAAATTTTATTTAAATAATATAAACTGATGTTCATGTACTCAATGATTTTTACATGTGTGAATTGGAACTCTAGTTAAACTTTTAAAAACTATCCCCCCCCCACCCAAATTACTTCCCAAAGATGTACTAAACATATATGTATGTGTGTGTGTGTGTGTGTATTTCTAGTGAGAAATGTGTTTGTCTCCTTTGTACTTCTTTATCTTTCTAGTAGTCAAGTCTATGAGGCTAACTATAGTAATTTTTTAAAATTATAGCTATAATTTAGAACACAAACTTTTAGTCAAGGTCATAATATTTGAATTATATGTTCTCTGGCTATATCAAACAGAAATAAAAATGTTTTTATTTTTTAGATACATACTTGAAATGAGTAATTTTGTAAAAATATTTTGAAACACAGTCGAACTTAATATTGGATCTGGAAGGAGGTAGGATAGCACTTTCCCAGAATACTAAAATATTTTTCCCAGCAGCATCCCTTTAACCATGTCTTACTGAAAATTGTTCAAACAGTCAAAGTACATATGATCTGTGGTTGCAATTTAAGAGTAGAATGTTGCTCCTAAGGGAAAGCACTCAGAGCACTTTGTGTAATTAGATGTCTCGTTGGGTGCGAATAGCTGCTAATTCCTCCAAGGCATTCCTCTACAAATCTTGTA